TTCACCTTTTTGTTTCGCATTTTCAGAAAATTACTGGGTATGGAGTTTTTTAGTCTATTCAATTTTAGTAAAATAATAAGTAGGATTCTGAAAAATCCCGTTGATTTCGGAAATTTCTCTTGTCGAGGGTGTTGTGCATTTTCTTCCATATAACGCATGAACAAAATCTATTTTTATATGGAATTTGCTCCTTATAGTTACACTTCCTACATCTTTTGTACTTCTATAAGACTTCATTTAAACTCATGTGCTGCTAGAAGACAATGCTCTGTTAGGAATCCTATCAGAAGTTTCGAGTCCATTCTTTTAGTGGCTGCAGCGCTACTTGCTACTAAGTTCACAAGATATCGGACCGTAATATTTTTTTGGCAGACTTCCTTTGTCCTTAATAACATTTTAGGCTATATTTTTTCTCAGTCTTAACATTTTCATGTGGCGAACTCCACAATTTTTTGCCACTTTTCCTACGGTCCCGCGTTTCCGCAGTAAATGTATTATTTACATTTATGTTTCCTGATTAACCATATTATTTACTGGTAATTACTTCTTGAATAAATTACAATACAGAAAAAAGTCATCTGACTTCCAACTAATGAAAAGATAACTGTAAAATGCAAAACTGAGAGTGAGTGCAAAACTGTAACATTTGCCTTAATTTACATTTTTGCCTGCTGGTTCTATTATTGTTGTTGGATTGACTTCAAATCTTTGTGAGACAACGAGTAGGGGTGTACCAATGAGAATATACAACAAAAGTATGAAAGTCATTAGAACTTGGAAAGATAGCGGTGGCTGAAATAAAAAGTGTTACACCATGTTACAGTTTTGCTCGTCACTGTAAATGCATATGTATATGCATATATTGTGTCTTTCAAGCGATCCCTATTTTAATTTAACTATAAGAATAAAAGTCAGCGCGTTCACGCCTCGGCACCCACGTCACTGTTGACATTCATTATTTCGAAAAAGTAGAGAATTCCCTTTACTAGGAAACGAACATTAGCACCGATAACAATGTCCGTCTTGAAATCCAACGTCAACAAGTGCTACTTTGGACCGAGTAGGCAATTGATCATGCCCGTGCTTATATATGGCGTAGAAACATGAAGAGTATCGCAGACGGTGGAAACGCAAAAATAAGAATTCACGACTTTAAAAGTCGAATTTATTTCCTTAATTTCATACAAAAAATCCTGGCCGAGACTTAATTGAGTTGCATATGTTTATTAATCAAGTACACTGTTAATATTTATTTCAATTTATATTTAAAAATCATATATTTATAACTTCTAATTTGAATTCGTATAATAATAGTATAGTAAAAATAAGTTAATGGTAAAAAAATATTTTCCTAATATCTCAACTCCTGCATCACCTATTGGCAACCTTTGTTGTGGAATTACTTCTTTTCATGTAGGTAATATATGGGTCATTACTAATGTGACCAACCGTACTTCTTTCGGAAGTACAGTACTTCTTTTTGAGCCGTTGTACTTCGTACTTCGAAGTACAGTCAAATGTACTTCTTTGCAATATTTTGTACTACCTTTTAAGTTGAGTTTTCTTTAACTGGTTCGAAAAATTCTAAAAGGTTAGTCATCTCAGGTAAAAAGGGTACTCGTAGATCAACACATATGTTAATTACGACTGTCAACCACTTCACAACTGTAGCTGACAAATTTCATTGTAAGTGACTATTCAATCAATAAAAATGTGTTTTAAGGCCGGTCCACATAGAACTTTCGCGTTGACTTTGACGTTGGCGTTGGTTTGACAGAACGCACGTTAAAAGTATGCTTGCTACAATGAACGCTTGGCACCGAATGCCTTGGCCACTAAATTAACATACTAATGACAGATAAATTAATATTTCATATCAATAAATTCATGAAAAAAGTATTTTTGGATTGCTTAGTTTTTGGAAAATAAAATAAAGAGATTTAAGATAGGAGATTTTCAAACAAATTTTTGATTTATGAAGCATTCTTTATTTTTTATACTACTCGGCTTTCTCATGGAAATCTAATTTATACTCTTATAACTCCAGTCTACATACATATCGCGAACTTTCTTCAAAGGTGAACTAATTCAATATTTACCTCATCTTGTCAATTTAACTGAATTAAATATTTCAAATAGTATAATCAAAAGTATTTTCGACAGTAAACTTTCTTAAACCGCTTTAAATTAAAACCAGAATTGTTATAGTTAAAATACTCCTCAAACATTCTCGGTAGTAAACTTTCCTAAACCACTTTATTTTGATACCCATATTGCAAAATTTAATTTATCCTATTAATTAAAAGAAACCAAAAATTTTTAAACAGGTGGCAACGTTCCCCACCAAAATTTTTTGGCTGTGAGCCTTTTGAAACCTCCTTATTTTGACAGTAATATTTAATGTATCTATCAATTTTAGGAAAACTCTAATTTTCAAACAGGTGGCAACTCTCGAATTTGTTTCTTCTTTTAGACTTTAAGTTAGACTTCAAGCAATACATCGGTAAAAACTGCTTTCTATTCCTATACAGAGAGACAGACAATCAAAATGTCTAACAATTCTTGATTTGGCTTCTGTTGCTCTTATAAAGACCGCCCATATTAATTTTACTTTAATATCTATTATGTACAGACATCGGCCCGTCAAAATTTTATTACATGCATAGATTTTTGGAAAATCGGCACGACACCGCTTATGCTCGGTAAGCACTTTATCGATTTCTACCAAGCCCAGTTCATTTATTTAAATATAACTAAGTCTAATTGAGCATATTATGGAAAATGTTTGTTTAATCCGCCCCAACTTATACTTATTTATTTGTTAATTAAAAAATTAACTTTGTTGGATTTGGTACACTGTCAACGTTGTTGTATATTCTGCTTTTACCATTTTTGTCATTACTTTCACACAATTTATTGTTCTCGGGTCCTGTACTTCCATGAGCTATGAAATAGTTGGTCACATTAGTCATTACGTACAATATTTACATCTCTCTTACATCTTTTGAGGCTAAATATATATTTTTTTACATTCTTTATCGAAAAAAGGGAGACACCTATTATTTTTTTTCTATTAGTTAAGATTTGTTTGCATTGGAGAAGATTAAAATAAAAAAAAAAATTGCATTAAAAATCGCATTTTTTATTTCTTGTTTTTTGATTTTGAGTTTTTTCATACCTGCGTACATAAAGTTTATACTAAAGTTTATGTACGCAGGTATGAAAAAATTCGTAACTTCTACAGTTTTGGTATTTCCATTCTCAAATTTTTACAGCTTACTCCATAAAGTTTGATAACTATTCAGGTTGAAAAAATAAAAATCAAACATGATGAAGTTAATAAAAAATAAATAAAAAAAATATAAAAAAATGCGATATTTTAATCTATCTCACACTAATGGAAAGCCGAGTTAATTACGCACATTTTGATACCTTAGCTGATTTTCTCCGACAAATAGTTTATTAACTGCAGACAATTAAAAGAAGATACTTCTCCGTGAGTTCAAAATTTCGGGAACTTTTTTTCGAGATTTTCGAATATCATGACAAAATAAAAAAATAGGTGTCTTCTTTTTTCGATAAAGAATGTAAAAAAATATATTTCACCCAAAAAAAGATATTGAGGTATAAATAGTGTATGGAATTACCCATATATTCTAAATATAAACTAAATCAGACCATAGATGCAGGTTTTCGATTTATATCGACTCCGCGCCACCTAACGGTAATTTTTTTTATGGAGTTATTTACTTCCATGTAGATAATATAAATTTCAAATATAAACCAAATCGGACTATATCTCGAGTAATGCACCACCTAGCTGATTTATTCATCCTTCATATTAAATACATATGTACATATATTGTTCTGAACTAAGTATGAAGTTTCAAGCCTCTAACTCATCGGTAACTTGGTTAAATATTGAGCAAGATTTGACCCAAACAAACATACTTACACATATCGGTACATACATACATACAAAGCAAGTTAAAAAAAAAAGTTTGTAATAAGAATTATTTTTATTCATTTTGTCATAAAAGTCAAAATAGCCATAATCTCTCAATTTTAGAATAAAAATGGAAAGTATTAACGGTATTCATTTTAACTCTGAAAATTATTAAACTGTTAAATTTTCACTTTTACCCGTGAGGTTATATACTACTGGTAAATTAATTGAACTTAAAACACACAAATATATTAGGAAGGAATTTACACTTTGACCTCCAAACCGCCCAATACAATATTTGGACACTGAGAAACATTGCAGCCATACACATTGCATATTTTTAATATTCATTATAACCATGAGCAACATCTCGGTATTCCTCATTTTTAAAACACCAATCGCCATCAAAAACAAACTAAGCTTTTTATAAGCCTTATCTATTTCGAACGATAGACCGCACGAACGATTTGTCTACTGACGTCATCGTTTTTCCTTGCCATTTTGTAAGTCTATCGTTCGTCTTCGTCATGCTTTACGACAATTACGTTGAACTCGTCTCGGTTAAATAGAAACCGGCTAGAATGTTGTTGTCGGACTTATATTAGAAGCATTTGTCTCCAGACGAATCGTTTGTCCGGTGTATCGTTCGAAATACATAGATAATAAGGCAGAATTTCCAATAAATTTTAATTGTCAGTTTACGTGGTGATAAACGTATACAGTTAACGAATTTACATGAATTTTAAACGTTAAGATGTATATTCTTACAACTTCTTATTTTTTAAATAAAATAAATCATTTTATTTTTTATAAAAAATACTTCATAAACACATACATATGTGGCAATTTCTATAATAAAAGCTATATACGTTTTCATCTTCGATTTACATACTATACACTTAAACTACATACATATGTGTACAGTACAACTAATTTCTTTCAGATTTCTTGTCATCTTGCCCGCATAAAACTGTGTCGTTGACAACCACCTTAATGATCCGAAGCTTTTAGTAGCGAAGGTATAAAAGCTCGTGCAGCTGTTCATTTGCATTTAGTCAATTGTTCGCGCCGGAATTTTTCCATTTTTTTGAGGTTGGTTGGTAGTGCTTCGTATTTAGCTTTGCAATTGCTTTTACACTTTCTTGTTGTTAACTTCCAGGATATTTTAAGACTTTTTTACTAATTAATCTAATCCAAAATGCCGGTGCCCGACGTCTTACTCAACAATGGAAAAACGATTCCCATTCTCGGTCTTGGTACTTGGGGCGTAAGTATAAAAATACTTTATACATATGTGCATGTATTTGTGCAATAAAAGTATTTATTTTAATTTATATGTTTAGTAATTTGTGTGGCAGCGAATTCACTATCGTGGCATTGAGTTGATAAATAAGCACATGGTGCTTGAACGGGTGGGTGGGGCTGTTTCCCTCATTTCAACTAGGCAAGTTTGTTTAAAATTATAGCCGGACATTGCAGTTGCGAATTACATGCATACATACTTATCTGCATATGGACATACATATATACATGCATGTCTTGATGTACATATGTACAAACAGTGACTCAAACAAATGACCACGTGTTGATTTTCTTCAAATATTCGTAATGTTTTTCGAGCTAAAT